GCCCTCTGGCCTTAACACAAGGCATCCGCTCCAGATTAGTGAAGTGGCGCCAGGCGGCCCATTCGTTAGCTTGCGGTTTCGCATTTCCTCTTTCTGCGCTAGCGCTCGAGCGGTGAAATTGACTAAAGCGCGGCTAGGCAAGTTCCTAGGCGTGCGGTGCAGGCTGAACCTGACATGTAGTACTTACATGGGAGACCACCAGGAACTCTCAGGACTGAGATCTTTTAAATAATGCCAGAAACAGTGGAAAACCACTTCCATATTGTTGCTAAGAATACAACATGGAATTTGTAATCCATGTAATCCATGTCTATTAGAAGTTGAACTCAAATTGAGAGAAACTTTTATAATTTATATTGGGGAAAATTGGTTTAGTGGAGATTATTTTGTTCTGATATTAAAGGTACTTTTATTTTATGTCACCAAAGATGTAATAATACACTGGCTGAACACAGAGCCTTTCTCAGACTGAGCCTTTCTGCAACCCAGATCTTCAGAGAGAGTGGGGGACTCCCCTTGTCAGTAAGTTTTGTTATGGCAGTAGAGAGGAAAGTGAACAGATTCTTTTCTTGTTTTGGGGACAGTAAAGTGAGAGGGGCTAATGCTTTGGTGGCTCCTTGGCCAAAGAATCTGCTACATTGTTTCAACCATTTCCAACCTTGAAGGTGAGGATGCTTTTTTCTGGCCCAGGAGACCTTAGTTCTCAACCCCAGTTGAGATAAGCACGTCATTTTCTGTTGAGACTCGACATTCTGAGTCAGGGCCATTTCCTGCACCCAGACACAGAATGATTTTATCTCTGCACCTGGAACTTAAATAGGGGCACCTTTTGAAGGCAAATCTTCTGGGAGCAGCAAGCAGTATCTTAGCATGGTGAGACTCTACCAGATGACTTGAATACTGATACAGAAGGAAGTAGCAGCGGGTCATGGAATTCTAGAATTGCTGGGTTTTCTTCAGTCAGGCAGCTGCACTGGGTTCTGCAGTCTGCGGCAAGCAGAGGAATCCTGTTTTAGGACATCCTTATGTGAAATGTAAGTTTTCTCAGGAGCACTGGACTAATTTTCTCTCCTGTTATTGGTTCACTTCATGGAATTTGATGTTGGTTTTAAGGGCTTTAAACATTATTCTCATTAAATCCATTAGAGAAGATCTAATCAATATATTGACTTGGAAGATGATAGTTGTGATCATCTTGGCCAGAAGAGTTGGGGAGATAGGGGCTCTCTCAAAGAGACATGGTATCTGTGTTTTCAGCAAGAGAGTGTGGTTTGGAGACCTCACACCTGTTTCAAATCAAAGGTTAATTCAGAGTTCTGTAATAATCAGGAAACAATTATGCCCAATTTTGTCCAAACCCTGGCCATCCCAGAGAATGCACATTGAATAAACTAGAAGCCTAAGAATTTAGCTTAAGTCTGCTCTCTGGACTTACAAGAATAATAATGAGAATTCAGATATGCCATCAGTAGATGCGCTAGGGAGTGTATTGCCTTGACTTATTCCCCCAGTAACCATCAGGTTCTGGAAGACATTATGTCCCCCTTGGTGTAGCAGATTCTTTGACATAGTCAACAAAAGTTTAGTTAGAGTATGTCTGCAGAGCAGCAACTTGGCATCTACCTCTAATAAAGTTTAGTAAAGTTCAATAAACTTTATAGGATTGACATGTTTACTGTGGTAGAGGCTGCCTCATGGTCTTGTAGAGAGTTGTATGATTATTTTGGCCTGCCCAGAATACTGACTTTTATATATCCCTTTCCTGTTGGCCCTGCATTCAGTGACAAAAAACACAACATGGACTTTTCATGAGGTGTTGTTCTAGTCACTAGAAAATGGACCTGACAGACTTGCCTGGTGTTTCTGTGTGTTTGTTGATGATGTATGGACTCCATATGATGCAAACAATTTTCTTGCTGCTGCTTATGTTCAGTAAAGGTGTGAACAAACTGTATTTTGCAACTGCAACCATGGGACAACTGAGGATGTGGAGGTTCCCCTTCACTTAGCCCTGCCTTTGGACTGGAAAGGTCCATCTAGTAACTCCCAAGTCCCCTTTGGAGGGAGATAACTTTGATAAAACTTAGGTAGTTCAAGATCTTGATGTTTTCCTCTATCAATTTCTGTATCAAGAAATAAGCAGTTGGTAACATTAGAACAGAATTACATATGAGTACTTTAGTGACAAATCATGCAAATGCCATATTTAGAATGTGCTGCTCAATCTGTACTGTAGCATTTTTAGCTGTGAAAAATCAAGCTGAAAATGTGGTTTCTGAAAACCTAATTTGCAGTTCATGAGCTGAAGTATCCTAATTATGCTATCTACAGAATGTGCTATGAGAAGGATATACATGGAAGTAAAATGATCTAATTGTTATTCTCTCCTCCCAGATAATCCTGACTATTGTAGCAATAGAAACTAAAGAGTTTATTTTAAAATCTGAAGTATATCAGTATATTGTTGTTGTAGTGTATTTTAATTAATATTTATTTTTATTTTAATTAATATTCTTTTTTTTTTACTGTAAGCCACCCAGAGTTGCTCTGCAGTGAGATGGGCAGTGACTAATTTGAAATGTAAATAAATAAATAAATTCGCTTTTAGTTTGGCTTTAAATTTTAAGCTCTGAAACAGAAACACTCTTATTCTTACCAGTCATGTGTAAAATGCTTTTTAGAGCATAAAGCAAAATAAAAGTATTTAAATTAATAGAATATATTAATGAATACTAAAATGAATACTGTTACAAAATGATTGATTGAATCCACTCAAAATAGAGTTCAAAATTAGTTCTTTTATTCTTGTGTTATTTGGACAGAAAG